AATGACTTTGCAGCCAGCTGCGTGTTCTGCTGACTAGCACATTTGGTAACATTATAAAAGTTGGATAAGCAACCAGCTGTGGTTTCTAGGATCTTGTTTGCTCTGACTGGATTTCATTACGAAATGGACTAGAAGTTGATACCGAAGAACTTTAGACCTATTGTTATGTTGCATTGCCGTAGTCTTACAATGCTATGATTCATTTAAGGGGGTCATCAAATAATGACAACAAAGCTTCAAACTGAGACAAACATTGTGGTCCACCAGGAATTTAGAATAGCAATCATCATTAATCTCTGATTCCCTCAGTGCTAATGGAAAGTCAGTGCATCAGTAACTATGTTGTAAGTAGACAGCTATTAAAAATGCATTAATAATCTATAGTGAGTCCAACATATGCCTTTTCAGAAGATTTGCAATTCTTTCCTTGGTGGCAAAGAGGCAGGACTTCTTGAAGCTAATTACAAAACAATCAAATGATTTAATTAATCTGGATATAACATTCTTAACAATACCTGTCTGTAGACTGAGGCACCCTGTGCATTGTCATTAAGTGAAATATTGTTTTTCTATGTTGATTACATAGTGCGTGTGTTAGTTTCTCCCTGAGGATGATAGAGTTAATTACCTGCCTAATGTCTGACCACACCAGTTAGGTTTACTTTATCAAGTTAGAAATACTAGCAATAATCTCAGCAGTATATAAAATATTTTAGAACTAAAACATACAACAGCCAGCAAATCCCTGGGAGCAGCAGGATTTGACTAATAAGCAAGCCCTGCACATATGGGCAGAGATTTAACTGGCACTGGTTTTCATTTGAAAATCTCTCAGGTATTGACTTGCAGATGGGTGGATGAAAGCTGTGAGGGATGAAGGTCACGTATAGGACTCTGGTTCTTATCTTTTTAACTTTTCTGGAGTATCACGCCTTAAAACAGTAGTTGAAGTAGCTGTTCCAGACACAGTGGAATTAATTTGTTCATTAATGTCCCATAGTTCCTGCACATTAAATTTACTACTTTTATAATCAAGTACTAAATTAATGCACAGTAACTGGCATTACTGCGCAGTAGTGTCAGTGCATGCCTTTTTAGTGACACTACTGTGCGTAGCCTAATAATACTGCAGAGTAGCGTACTAGCACTGTTTGTGCTGTGATGTGCTGCTGCACAGTATTATTAGGTAACTACACAGTTAGCATCTTGTGTAAATGTGCCCAGTGAGGTTTTTTGTTTGGGTTTTTTTCCCCCTATTTTTAGTCTTTACTTCTTGAGATGTTTTGTTACTCCAGGGCCAGCTACAGACATTGCACTTTTACTAGTATAACTGATTGGAAACTGGTCTATATGCATGACAGGATAGACGTTTAGCACGCAAAACCTGTCTATACCAGTAACAGAACAGAAGTTCTGTGCACATAGACTGATTTAAAAATGGTGAGACCTGGCCTAAGATTTGATCCCCAACCACAGGGCAAATGTGTGTTCTGTTTGTACTGATGTAAACTACACTGCTTATGGAAACCCAGGTCACTTAGATTGGTTTCACCGCCTGCATTTTGAATGTCTGTACCTAGCCCAGATATCTAGATAAACCCACATGATTTACCTGCTATTTGGGTATTATTTGTAATGTGTTACTGGCTAAGAAATCTAAAGGGTTACTGGCTAAGGAATCTAAAGGGTTATTTTCCTATGAACAAAGTTCACTAATTACTTGCTCATAATGAGGTCTGACCCTTTTAACTGAGAAAGAATTAACACTTTCTTATCTTGTCTGTAATAAAGTGATAGTTCTCCAAAGCTCTTCAGCAGTGCTTGGGAAAGTAGTTCATGGTTCTGCATCTCCTCCAATTATAAAACTTAGGACAAATAGTAATGTAGTTTTCCATATAAAAAATAAGCATATGCTCTGAATAAATGCCTGGGGAAATTACATGTGCTGTTGTAATTTTAATAAATCTAAATATTTGGCTTTTAAATAATTAACCATAGAGAAATAGCCTCAGTTAGAAATAACAAAACTGATATGCTGATATATTGATCATCTTGTCAAATCTTGTCCAAAATATTTCTTCTTTAAATGATCTATTTCTCTTTGTTTCTCCCCAAGATGCCAAGCCACCTTCTTTGTCTTCTTATCCATCCAAATTCACTGCATTTCGAGGTGGAGCTCCTCCTTTTTAGTGTGGCATTGTTAATTTAAGGCCATGTTTTTTGTGCTCTGTTTTTCTAAACTTACCTTTATTTAATAAGATCTCATAGTAACAAGAGGAATCCAGTTAGGAGCTGTTAAATTAAATGAACTGTTGCTCCCAGTAATTTGGTGTTTGCAGTTCACACAGGACAAGAATAAATTGTGGTAACGCCCCTGAACAAAGATCAAAATCTCTGCCACATTGTGCTTTTATTAGAATCTCCCCCCGCCCGCCTGCCTATATTCCAGGGAACAAAAGTCTCTGCCACCTAGAAATTACTACATATGAAAAGCAATAAAAAAGCTGTGGTGTTGGGAGATGGGGCAAAAATAGGGGTTGGGGGAAAAGGACTTAATTCTGCTCTGGTAGATAAATGGGCAATAAGAGGCAAAAATACTGGCAAGCTAAAGAAGAATCTTTGTTTCTTGGGATCCTAGAAGGAACAGATGCAGCGTAGTTGAAAATCACATTTTTCCTCCACCACTCCATTTAAAATCCTGTTTAAATTCGCTGATGACACCAAAATTTGGGGGGAGGTGAGCACGCTAGCAGGGAGAGAGAGATTGCAGAAGGATCTGGATAGGTTACAGGGGTGGGCAGACAGGAACAGGATGCGTTTCAATACGGACAAGTGCAGGGTGCTGCACTTGGGTAGTAGGAACCAGCAGCACACTTATAAGATGGGGAGCTCCCTACTTGAGAGCACGGAGGCGGAAAGGGATCTTGGTGTCATTATTGACTCCAAGATGAACATGGGCCGACAATGCGAGGTCATGGTTGGCAGGGCTAACCGGACCTTGTCGTGCATCCACAGGTGCATCTCGAGTAGAGCCAGGGAGGTGATCCTCCCCCTCTATGCGACGCTGGTCAGGCCGCAGCTGGAGTATTGTGTCCAGCTCTGTGCGCCCCATTTCAGGAGGGCTGTGGACAACATGGAGAGGGTCCAGAGGAGGGCCACCCGCATGATCCGGGGACAACAGTGCAGACCCTACAGTGAGAGACTGCGGGACTGGAACCTATTCAGCCTCCACAAGAGAAGGCTGAGGGGGGACCTGGTGACCGTCTATAAACTCACTAGGGGGAACCAGAAGGGTTTGGGGGAGACGCTGTTTCCCCTAGCCCCTGCTGGCATAACAAGGAATAATGGGCACAAGTTGATGGAGAGGAGGTACAGATTGGACATCCGAAAAAACTACTTCACAGTCAGGGCGGCTAGGAGCTGGAACCAACTTCCAAGGGAGGTGGTGCTGGCCCCTACCCTGGGGATCTTTAAGAAGAGGCTGGATACTTACCTGGCTGGACTCATTTGAGTCCCGTTTTTGTTTTTAGGGTGAGTGGTTTTGTTTGTGTTTTTGGGTTGTTCTCCTGCCCTGGCGGGGGGTCGGGCTAGAAGATCTATTAGGTCCCTTCCGACCCTGAAACTATGAAACTATGAAACTATGAAAAAAAAAAAAAAAAAAGGTGTCTCAGCATTTACCATCTAAATGGCTTGATGAGTATACTGTCTGTCATAAAATTAATAGGATCTGTTGAGGACATCACTATAGAATATGCAATGTTAAGTTAATTGAAAAAGTTGACTAGAAATCCAACAAACTTGAAGTCTTTAAATCACTCTCTCTGGATTAATTGCTCTTCTTTTTACTTATAGATACTAATTTGTCCCTTAAGAATTGACTGCTAATTTTAAATAGACAAATAGATATTTAGAGCTTTGGTGCAGAAGTATAGTTACAATCTTCATTTATTGTCCAATTATACAGGATTCTTATTTTAATTTTTTTGATGTATAGTTACCAGAATCTATTCTCTATCTCAAAAAAGGCTGTTGATATCTAACAGGGCAATGGTACTTACTTTTTTTCCTCCTTCAAGTGTCACCTTTATATTTTCCCTATAGACTATCCATGTTCTCCAATTACACATGCTGAGTAGCCAAGGCAGGCTAGAGTACCACTGAACTTTACCTCACCAGCTGTCTACCAAGCTTTCTCACAGATCAGCAGCAGGTTGAGTGGTCTAATATGAGAAAATAGGCCCCCAAAGGAGGTGTCCTGTTCAGTGTGCAGTCACTTCTTTGTATCACTTAAGAACATCATTTCTTCATGCCTTGGTCTAGACAGACCTGGAAAAAACTTTTTATCCAGTCTGTTTTCTGTAGCTATTGACATTTAGAGAGAGAGGAATTCACAGTGCTATTAGTTTGTATAAGGCCTAAATTTTAGAGTTATTTTCTATTTTCCCCCTAATGTTTAAATATTGAGGCAGTTGTTTTAAAAGTGTCATTTTTAATCTTTAACTTGTATTTCTTTCAACTAAAGTACTATTTCTGTGAAGTTGAATTAACTGATTTGCTTTTATTAACCTGAGTAAACTGGATTTATTCTGAATTAAATTTGAGTTTCATTACTCACTTCTTTAAAAGAATTGTAATGTTAAATAGGATGTTATTTTAGGGTTTCATATTTCTCAGAAGACTTACAAACTGCTCTTTATAATAAGATGCCTTCCATGTGTCAGGTACTCAGGCTGTAGCTGTACTGGTCTAGAGGAAAAGACAATCAGGACTTATAGTAGAGATGATATCTTTTATTAGACCAACAAGATTTTTGTAGATTAAAGAATTTTTTTTGTAAAAATCTTGTTGGTCTAATAAAAGATATCATCTCTACTATGAGTCCTGATTGCCTTTATAATGAGAATGATTTATAGACTCAGAAAATATAAGTTTTAACAGTTCTGAAATGTGCATGCTTTATTTCTGAATTTTTCCCTCCCTTCCTTTTTGTTCCCTGACAGGAAGCAGTCCTCAAGATAGCCCTAGAAATTTCTCTCCCAGTGCCTCAGCCCACTTTTCTTTTGCACGAAGGTAGGAGTTTGTTTGTTATTCATGAAACAAGTTTTATGTAAGGGAATATTGCAGTGAACTAAAGCACTGACTCCTTGGTTTACACAATACATAGAAATGTTTGTTGGTAATTGAGAATTACTTGATTTTTCTTTTTAAACCTGAGCAGTCCTTAAACAATGCAATTTCACATAATTGATTGATCCAGTTCAACCCTGCCTTTATAATGATATTTTTAAAATGTTATGTGGCTTAATACTGCTAATATACATTTTCACTGATGATGCAGATCATTCTTCAGTGTGCTGTTAATATATAGAACTCCTACAAAAGATCAGGCTGGGAGTGTGTAAAAATTGGGAATGCACACTAGAAGTAGATAGTTTTGCCGAACTCCAGTCACTTTTGTCATTCTAACTCAATCTATGATATTTTCCTTTTCATGTAAAAATGTGGGCTAGAGAAGAATTAGCATGGGTCTGGGAGTGAGGCATTCTTGAGTTCTAATCCTGATTGTACTGATTGTTTGAACTTTGCCTCAGACTCACATTTGACATTGAGGGCCAGGGACAGAAGTTACACATAAAGCGGTTTAAGTGTTCCCAAACTGGTTTAAATCTGTAACACAAAAACTGCTTTCAGAATGACTGAAACTGGTTTAAGATAAACCTGGTTGGTTGTAGTATCAGACTGAACTGATTTAGGCTAAACTGGATTATGCAGCTTCTGTCCTAGATCCCCTCCCTACTCAAGTTAGATCATAGTTCCCCAGCATCCCAGAATGCATTGCAGTCCTGGGCTGTGCTGTCTGCTTCAGTGGAGCAGGGATGGCCCCTCCCCTAAGCTATTAAACAGGGCTAAAGCACTAAAGCCTCTGGTTCCTGCAAGCACCTGTCAGCTTGGGGGGGGGCGGGGAGGTGCAAGGGAATGGACCCCCAGACCGTCCTGTCTGTACAGGACAAGGAGAAGTAAAACCCCAGCAGTGGGGGCGTTTCACCCCTGCAAGAGCCAGGCAAGCTGAGTTGGCATCGGCTCAGCCCTAGCCCCCAGGCTGTAAGAGGTGGGGTCAAATTGGGGGAGAACACACTGGCAAAGCCCCAGCCCTGGCCCCCCCAGGTAGGGTCTGCTCAGTGCAAGAGGAAAGCACCCACCAGGAGCCTTTTGGTTCCCTGCAGCCCAGTGAGCCATGCTGGGATTGGTTCAGTCTGACCCAGTCACCAGCCCCTGACCTGTAAAAGGTCTGGCCTGGCACTGGTTCTCCCAGCTGGGGTCTGCTCAGCACAGGGTGTAGGAAGCCTCCACTGGGGGCTTTTCACTCTCAAGTAGCCCAGCTTGTTGGGCGTGGATCAGCTCAGCCCTGCCCCCTTCCCAGCCTCAACCTGAGATGGATGTGGTGGTGAACACACTGGCCTAGCCAGGCACTGGCTCCTCCAGCCAGGGGCTGTCCAGTGTGGGGGTAAAGGGGCCAACTGGGGGCTTTTTGCTCCCCCACAGCCTGGTTCCCCAAGCTGGCTTGGGCTCAACCCTGCCCCCTTCCCAGCCCTCCTGCCTGTGAGAGATTTTGGGGCAGGGAGGGGAGCACACTGGCTCCTCCAGTTGGAGTCTGCCCAGCACAGGGCTGTGAAAACCCCCACTGGGAGCTTTTCATAACCCCACAGCCCAGCAAGTCAGAATGGCATTAGCTCAGTCCTGCCCCTTTCTGGGGAAGGGGCTGAGGCCATGCCAGCCTGGTGAGCTGGGCGGGGGGGTGGGCTTCCCCCCACACTGGGCAGATCTTGGCTGGAGGGACCATAGATTCATAGGTTATAGAGTTGGAAGGGACCAATGGATCATCGTGTCCGACCCCCTCCCCTGGCAGGAAAGAGGACTGAGGTCAGATGACCCCAGCCAGGTGATTGTCAAGCCTCCTCTTGAAGACCTCAAAGTTAGGTGATAGCACCACCTCTCTTAGAAGCCCATTCCAGACTCTGGCCACCCTTATTGTAAAAAAATTCTTCCTTGTGCCTGGCTGGTGCATTCCCCCACCACCATTTCTTACAGGGAGGGGTCAGGGAAGGAGTGGGGCTGAGCTGTGGAGGAGCAAACAACTCTTGGTGGGGTCTTTTCTCCACACCAGGCAGACCTCAGCTGGCAGGGCTGGTGCTGGGCTGGGTGTGTGCATGTCATTCCTCCCACCCCTCTCCCGTCATGGGGCTGGGAAGGGGGCAGGGCTGAGCCATTGGAGCCCTTCTAGCCAGGCTGTGGGGAGAGGGTGAAAAGCCCCCTGTGGGGGCTCTTCCCATGCCAGGCAGACCCCAGTTAGAGGGCCAGGGCCAGGTGGTTGATTCCCTCTCCCCATCACCCTTTGAGGCAGGGGCTGGGGAGAGATTTTCTGCAGGCTCTCCCTTTCCTGCGGCTGACAACTTGTGCGGTTCGGGGGGCAACAGCCAATCAGGCCTGAGATGCCACTGGGCTGTGTTTATCAGCCTTGGGGCAGCTGGCCATGAGGGGGGTGTGTGTGTGCACCCCCAGGCTCCTGACCTGGGCCAGTGCAGGCTTCTGCCTGTCTTGGCCTCTGAAACACTGAACATCAGTTCAGTTTATCGGTTCAAGCTGCACAGTTTAGAAAAACCTGCAAGATTGAATCTGTTCCACCTTGCACTTTTTGAACCTCTGGACTTAGCTGAGAACTTCCCCCATTGTGTGATTAGGGCAATTACCTCTCTTGCAGGTTGTGCAAGGATTAATTAATTAATGTCAATAGTATTTTTCAAAGTTTTTACAGTGAATTTGAAGCAATATATGAAGTAAATTATTAATAAATGAACCATAAGCACAGTCAAAGGTTTGTCACAGGAGACTGCCTATTTATGCTGGTTCCATATTATTTAAACCTGTTCTACCTGCCTCAGATAATTTCATTAACTCTAAACCTGGGAGAGTAGAAAGGGTTTATCTGTTGACTCAAGCGTCTCTACGCAATAAATGAAATCAGATAGTTGAATCTTAAATGATGCGGTTAACATGGCAGTTACGCACATAGCTATCCCAGTCATCTGTGAGAGAACATTTTTGGTGCAATGTTAATTGTTTTATTTCAAGAGTTGGTAAATTAGATATGAAAGCTGTCAGACAGGGATACATCTTATGCCAACCACAAGAAAAAAGGATTTGGCTCTGTTAAATTGTTCAGTTTGGGAAGAAAAGCTTCCCTTGTACCCACTTTTTTCCCTTCCTTTCTTCCCTGAATCAAACTCTAAACCCTGGAACATACAGTAATATATTTTCTACATGTGTGTTTGGGCACATTGAAACAGGAAAGTACATGGCATCTAATCTAATTTCTGTCTAATTTATTTCTTAACCTATTAAATAATTATTTTGAAATATAACAAGTATCATGATAATGATAAGTGACTTTTTGGGGTATGTTTTTTTATTAATACATTTTTATCATACTGAATAATTTCCTAAATAGCTCATGTTGAAAAAACAGATAAAAGACTGAACAGTAGTTTAGAATAGAGTTAGTGGAAGTGGTTGTGCCATAAAATTTTGCCAGAATTAATACTAATTCCTCTCTAGAATCCATATAAAAATTTGCAACTTTGAAAAAGTTTGTGAGCCTAAAATTGCAAGGGGAGCGGAGTTAATTGTGACATTGTTTAATTAAAAAAATACCTTGTGTTATGGCTATCTTAAATTTCAAAACAAAAATGTGATTGTGAACTGGAAAACCAAAATGTTTCGTTTTGAAAACATCATAATAGGATATTCCAGTAATTTTTAAGTTTTTGTTTTCAAGTTAGGAAATATTGTTGAAAGCCAATTTGTAAAAAAAAAAAAATTAATAATCAGATGATAGCTCCTCCTTAGTAAAGTTTACAATGGTAATTTTTAAATGGTGTAAAAACCTCTGAAACAATTTCAGATACCCTTTTTAGTGTGTATTTACACAGAACTGTATGAAAAGTGTACACGCATGTACAGTGAGAAAAATTTTAGAACATTCCTACCCAAAGAAAAGAATCTTTCTCGAAAAGCCATGTAATTTGATGAGCAGGATATTAGATTTTTATACTTAATTTGCTTGATAACAAAGTAATTATGAAAGAAAGCTGACTTAATATGACTGGATCTGTATAATATTTGCATGTAATTTTTTCTGAGATAAGTTGCTCCATGTCTCTCACCTCTATGTAAACAATATACCATAGTAGGAATTGTGATAAAGATGTGTCTGTGTGTGTATGAGTAAAGAAACATGGTTTACCCAAATAGCTTGATGAAACAAATAATTTTTGCTTCACAGATGCATAATATATAGGAGAAAACCTTGTTTGAATAGCTTCCAGATTTGTTTTTCTTACCATAGGAAGCTAATTTAACTTGTGTCTGAGCGGAAAAGAACATACATACCTCTTGTATTGTTTATTCATTGAAAGGAGTTCATTGTTTCTTGATTGCTTCTGTTAGTTTCTTTGTAATTTCTGTAAATCTTACCCATTTCTGGGTAGTGTTTTCTTTAACTAGGGACACTAGTTGTATACTGCAGTATTTAGCTACACAACAGACTTGTAATGGCTATATCTTGAAGTCCATACTCAAGTTTTATTCAGTCAGCATCCCATTGGCTTGAGTTGCTTTTTGAAGGTGTATTACCTGAGTGATCATAACCCAATCAAGCCTTGGAATTTATCTCAGACTTATTTTTTTGGACAGGCTATTTAAGAGGCAGAGATGCTGCATCAGAATATTTAGGTATCCAGATAGGGTATTCTACTATATGGAATTATATTTACTGCATAAACCCAGAAATGAGAGGTGGTTTTTGGACCAGCTACATAGTGAAATTTTAATGTTAAATAATATTTCCCCCAGGATACCTGATTTATATTACTAAAACAAATCCTATTATGTTATTTATGCATTTGTTATTTTGCTTGTGTTTTAACATACTTGATACAATTGTACTCCAGTCATGGGCACCGAAATGACAGGTAAATTTTACCTAAAACATAAGAGTTGTTTTGTGATTTGTCTATTTGAATGTGTAAATTCCATATTGTCTGTATGTGGGCCACCTGGAACAAAAGGGTCTAGAAATTGTAATACATGACATGTATTTCCACCTTCAGTGGTATAATTTTAGCTGAAATGTATATTTTCAGATCAATTTATAACTTTCAACAGGTCAAGCAGCTAGCTTATACTTTGTTGCAATACATTTTTCCTTGGTATTTTGCTCTAAGGAGATTGAAATACTTAACACTACAGTTGATACACCACGGTTCATGTATAGTCATGTGTTTTTATCTCCTCATCTTTTTGCATCTGCTGAACCTGACAGTTATAATGGTTTTCTGTTTCGCTTTTCTCAAAGCATATTTTTGAGGGATCAATGCTGTTGATCAGCTCATTCATTTTCTAGTTGTTTCATCTGACTGATTCTATTAAAAAATAATCCTCCCTGTATACCATTAATTGTGACCCCCTGTGAAAGTTTATTACTTGTTAAGAACCCAGTTTGTATCATCCTTTTGAAATGCAGTTCTACAGAGTAATAGTTTCCCAGAAGTTTCTGTCTAGGGATGCTTCAGTGTTTATATGGACTAACCTCAGTTTCACAACAGGACCGATGGGCGCCGCTGGTCTTTGGCTTCTCTCCCCTCTTCTGGATATGGTACAAACACACCGAGCTCAACTGTGTCTGTAAGTACTAGCTTTATTTTACATATACATTTCAATACCTTTTTTCCCAATAGGTTCCATAATGAGAAATAAAATTGAATGTGTATAATGTTTTTCATAATATGCTATGCATCAAATGAATGGCTGACAAGCAAGATACACTCCTTTTTTAGTATTAGCGTTTAATTTGTAATGCATATCCCCATTACATACCATTACTACAAGAAAGGGAAAACAATCTTAGCATTAGTGAGAAACCTGCTTTAATTGGGGAGGGTAGTGGTATATAAATCCACTTACCCAGCAAATGACTTACCCTACACATAAAGATAAATGTAGCTTACATTGCTAGTTTTGTATCTATTACACTAGCATTTTGCTGTAAAACTTAGAGATGTTAATTGTTTCATTTTTAACTAATCTTTCTCTTAGCCACTTCCCTGTCTAGTCCTGTTACCCCTGTCAGCAGGTGTGTAATGGCAGAATGACAGTGGAACTGGTTCTGTTTCACTGCTGAAGAGAGACAGTGAGAGAAAGTTTGTGTTTGTCATTCTACAAATTACAAGTTCTTTGCTACCAGGAAGAGGATATAGCAATATCTTAACATGCAACTAAGCAATGCTCCTGGTCAGCCCCTACCTGCAGGGCTGCCAAAGCAAAACTCCAACAGGCTGCTTCAGGAATAGCCAAAGAGCAGATGCACTGACATTTCATGTCCTATTTAATTAGCTTGAGGGCAGGTTTGACTCTGAGGCTATGCTTACTTAATAAACCTACTATGCCAGACAGTGGCACCCTCATACATGTTGTCCTGCTCTACGTTGTCTGTATCCTACAAAAGCAGGTTAGACTGAGGGTCACTTTGGATTGAATAGTCCTGCCTGCCACAATAACTTTAATGCAAAAACACGGCCTTAGACAGCTAACAGGTTTGTCTTTAGCTTCGTATCGTGTCCATGATGTGTCACTGTTAATGGCGTAATGTGTACAAATAATACACATTATTAATATTGGGCAGTTGACATTCAGTTGTTAATGCTCTTCTGTGGTGATTCAAGTCAGTATCTATTTCCTCATGCGTAGTAGTCCATCTTTTTTTGAGAAGGGCCCAGGTATATTTCTAGACTCTTGATAACAAATGACAGCACATGTTGATATTCAACTGTCCAGGGTTTCCAGAAGGTTCAGCTAACACATGGGGGTACTTCCCATTGTAGTTAAATGAAAACTGATGTGCTCTGCTGTGTGAAAATGCACTTTAAAATACTGATCTAGAAGCAGATAGGTTAGATAGTAGCAACCCCGTCATCGATACGAAAAAATGACTCGCACTCAAAGTGGAATGAAGATAAGCATCAGAAACCTATCAAAACCCAACCTTAATTTCCATGTTATGTGCAGTCCTGTTTTTTTCCTTGATTAACTACAGTTTTTTAAAACAATAATTTAAATTCATTTTCTTTTTTCTGCCTCCCCGCTTTCTGTAGCTGGTATTGTAAACACAGGGATGCTTGAGCTGGGTTATGCTGTTTTTCATGTTTCTTACGGAAAAAACCTAGCACTGGAATTATTGCTTTAGATATCTAAAACCATAGAATGAATCATTTGTTAAGCTGTCCCTTGGTATTCCATGGATAAATCACAGCTGATTTATGCATATGAAAATAGATGTCTGCCTTAGTGCACACATTTCATTAAACTAACACTTTCTGACTACAGGGAAGAAGTGTCTCTTTAATAAATCAATGTAAATTGTGTTGAAGAAACCAGCCAGCAATATAAAGATTGTTCCTTGTATTCTGATAAATGCGTCTGTTTGTGTAAATTTTGTCTTTGGGAAAAGAATTGTCCAAGGTTTATTACCATCTCTCTAGTTCTCAAGACTCTTCTGAGATCAAAAGATAGAAAGTAACTTGACATATACAGACACGTATGACAACCTAGATACTAGTTGATCCTAAAGTTAACTTTGAACAGCTGAATGATGTTCTTGTGTATACTGTGGTCTGATTTAGGATCAGGCTGGGTAGATTGTTCTAACATGATGTACTTTTCCAACGTAGACGATCTCTGAGAGAGTTAACCCTTCCCTGCAGCAGTCCCTCCCAGAAATGCCTGTGAAGATAATGCGCCATGAGATCTGGTGCAGATAATTGGAGTAAACTTTTTTTGAGTTTCCTTGCTAAGAATCATATGTTAAGGCTTGAGGATCTTTAGTTCATAACACTGAGTAGCCAGGGAATCCTAAAGGTTGTCTAGTTACCATGTTTGTCAATACAATCTGCCATGTGCCCATAGCAACAAGGGGCAGTGATAGTGAAGTACTGACCTCTTTCACTTGAAATCATTAGGCTTGGATAGCACAGAGGCTCTGATTGTTGGCCTCCAAAAATAGAATAGCCAGACACAGTCCTCAAAGACTCATGTGAAGATCTAATAGGTTGAGGTGGCAGTGGGAAGAGGCAACCTGAAGACTTAAAACAGTAAGGAATGATCCCAGTTCTTGTTGGCTAGGGAGAAACTTTAAAAAAGCCAGAGCCTAAATTGATTCACTCTTTGCAGGTTAGTCTAAGCTGTGCAGCTTAAACTGATTAATAACTGGACAGACATTCTCTGCTAAACCAGGAAATGCAGCCACGTGCCTGCAGTGGCTCAAGCCAGAAGCCGGGGGGTGCTAGAGCATGCTTGCCAGCCGCTGCCAAAGGGGAGGGAAAAGAGACGCTCTCCAAGGCTCTCACTCCTCCCTGCTGAAGCAGAGGGGGCATGGCCAGGCACCAACCAGGACTAGCAGAATACACGGGATGCCAAACACTAGCGGGGGGGGGAGAGGGGGCAGCTGCTGCCAGACTGAATTGGGGATGGGTAAAAAGTCCTTTCTCTAAAGCAAGCGTGTATTGAACACAGCAATTTGTAAACCATACAACAGGGAACTGCCAAAAATCTTCACCTAAGCTAAGATACAGCCCAAAAAACACAGCATACACAACTTAGTCTAACTTAAAATGTAAACAGGAAGACGAGAATTAGTTTTACTAATTCTGAGGCCAAACGTCTCCTTACAGCCAGGCATTCAGAAAGGCTTTGTTTAGGTATTCCCACCTTTTTACACATTCTGCTTTATAATGTAAATGTAGTTCTCTGCATTCTTTGGTGAAGCTGTCTGCAACTTCCCTTAACTACATCTCCAGCGTATGTGATGATTGCCAACACTTCCCACCTCTCAGTCTGGTCCTGCAAGTCTTAGGTCTGGCCTCACAGGTGGACAGCTTGCATCTGCACACAGGGGACTAGTTTGCCCCTCTGCCCTGCCTCCCCTCCAGGACCCGCTGTGGAATTAATCCCCTCCTTGCCCATCTGCAGGCAAGTCACAGAGACTGCAGCCAAACCCTCAGGGGTTCTCAGGGAGAGAGGGGCAGAGGGAGGAATTAACTTCATCCCTGCCTGGCAAGCAATGGAGATGCGTTTGGGGCTGCCAAACAGCAGCTGCGGTCCCCAGGGTTTGCAAAAGGAAAGGGAGGAGGGGAAATGGATGGAGGGAGAAATTTGCCGCAGGGGCCATGGCAAGTCAGTGTCTGGCCACACCCTGGCCCATCTCTGGCTAGAGAACAGGGGGCATGGGCCAGTCCAACTCACTGGAGCAAAGAACAGAGCTCCACACAGCCCAGAGAGCATGCTGGGATGCTGGGGGAGTCTGATTCATCTTAAACCAGCAAGGGGTCTGGGACAGATCTTGCATAAACTGGTTTGAGCCCAATCAGTTAAGCCTGATACTACATTCAACCAAATTTATCTCATACTGGTTTCGGCCATTTGAAGACTGGTTTATTTGCACTGAATGTCTGTTCTGTTACAAGTTTAAACCAGTTTCTGATCACTTAAACTGGTTTATATGTAGTGTCTGTCCCTAGCTGTTAAGAATAACAAGTCACTGCCAGGAAGGAAGTCATCTGGGTCCTGTGGAGAGCATATCTCAGCTGTGTTTTTGGAATTGCCTGCTGGGTTTTTCCATACTAACAAAACATGAAGACTTCAAATTCAGGCTCATTGAAGTACAAACATATAGTGTCCAGTGCAAACAGATAGTGAAGCTTTAGATTCAGTGATGTGTAAAACATGAAAATTTAAAACATTGTTATCTGTTCTTGCAGTTGTTTATGCTTAAATATATTTTGCTTTCAACTTAATGATAGAAAATATGACAAGTATTTGAATCTTGTCTTGCTAAGTGCATAGGATGGTTTGACTTTGTCTCACTAGTTTTTTTTATCCACTGAACTACTTATTTCTTTGACAAAAAGTTCTAGCATTTTAGTTCACATATATGTTTTGTCTGAAAATGGTGATAAGCATTTTCAGAGAATTCAGTTCATAATGAACAAACAACATAAGAAATCTTGGCCATGGCTTACTAAGGTGAGAAAAAGTATTTTAAAAAATGATGGGTAAAAGAAAAAAGGTATTCAGCAAGTTTTGTAACTGCCATATATAGAAGTGTGGGGTTTCTATTGTAGCAGTAAATCATAGACTCACTCTTATTAATATACAACAAGAAATAATAACCATTTATTAGACTCTTGATTCCTGAAATCTTCCTTACTTTAAGTTTAGGGAATTGTTTTCGAGGGGCTGAACTAGTCCTATATTTATGTACTGCACTACTGAAGCTGATTGCTATATTTTTGTCCTTAAACAACTAGGTGAATAGAGGAAAATGTAGCTATAATTTTTAAATTAAGTGGATCTATGCATGTACAGTGAAGATAGTCTTGAAAGAGATGCCTTTTGGTTGTGGTATAATCTAATATATTATTATGCTCATTGCAGTCATCTTGTTCCTCCCAAGAGAAGCTACACCAGTTACCATACCAACCAACACCTGATGAACTACATTTTTTGTCTAAACATTTCTGTGCCACTGAAAGCATTGCCAGTGATAACAGATGCAGAACCACTCCATTACGCCCTCGTTCCAGAAGCCTCAGGTGAGTTCAGCTCTCTGGCATCACTGGTTTAATCTGAATATATAGGCACTCCTGGAACACCACAATTGTGTAGATTTGGCACTTTAAACTACTTGTGATATTTTTAAAAATTCCCAAGATGTAATAAGTCAGTGTTGGCTGAATCTGAGGCTGAACCAAAATCCACCAAAGTTGTTACTTCAGGTTATGATCATTAGTTAATTCTTACATTAGTAGGGCTATATGAAGCTTTGGGTGCTGATTCAATTTGGAGGAGATTCGGCCCAATTCAGCGGCCAAATCTGAATTGAATCAGGATAAATAAATAAAAAGGTCCGGATCGATTCAAAGCTATCTGAATTGATTTGGAAAAGATTTGGAGAGCTTTGGAGATTTGGACAGTCCTGCCCACTGCCGCCGGAAGCTGGACCTGGACTCCGTGCTGGTAAGTAGGGGGCAGGTGGGAGGGGGGGCTGGAGGAGGGAAGAGGGAACCATGGAGGGGACCCCTGCCCACTTTCCCAGCCCTGTCAATGGCTGCCCTGTTTGGCCCCAGCTCCCGGTTCTTTAAAAAAATAAATAAAAACAAACAAACACCCCCCCCCCCTCACTGGCTCCTGTCAGGCAGGGGTGGGGGTGATCCCTGCTACCCCCCATGCTGTGTGAGGGGCTCTGCCATGAGCCCCCATCCCCTGCCCACTCTCCCAGCCCCCACATGGCTGCCCTGCCTGGCTCCAGCATCCTGGCTCTTTAAAAAGGAAAGGAAAAAAATCCCTGCACTTGCTGATTACTGCAGTGGCCATCAGGGTTTCTTTTTTTTAAAAAAAAGCCAGGATGCTGGGGTTGGGTGGGGCAGCCACTGATGGGGCTGGGAGAGTGGGCAGGGGATGGGGGCTCATATTAGAGCCCCCCACGCAGTGCGGGGCAGTGGGGATGCTGCCCCCCTCCCCAGCCTGGCAGCAGCCAGTGAATGCCGGGCTTTTTTTTTTTGCTTTTTTTAAAAGAACCGTGAGGCTGGGGCTGGGCAGGGCAGCCATTGACGGGGCTGGGGGGGGTGGGAGGGGGGGGGGGC